TTATTTCAAGCAGAAGACGGCATACGATTCCGTTAGGATCGCAATCATGCGCTCTACCGAGCCCAGGATAGCTCTGTGTATGATAACCGGTCGGGTTTTTTCTCCAGCTTCGCTGTAAATATATAATTAAAAACAAAATTAATGCTCTGTATCCAGATTTACCAAAAATTTAGAAAAAGCTTTTTAATGGATACCTACTTAACGTACGATAGATTGAACCTAATTGGCAACTGGAAATCCAATTGTATCGTGGCAGTCTGATGAGGCCTCTTGAGCGCGTCCATAATGGTGATGTCGATTTTAGGTCCGTAGAACGCCCCGTCCTCGGGATTAAGGGTCCACGGTTGGCCAAACGCGTTCAGACTCTCCTCCAACGCTTTCTCGGCCTCGTTCCAGATCGCGATGTCGCCCAGGAACTTCTCGGGTCGCGTGGACAGGCACAAGTTGAACGTGAAACCGAGAACGGAATACACGTGCCACAGGAAGTCGAGAGCGCCGCTGATCTCGTCCTTGATGTGCTCTATGGAGCAGAATATGTGCGCGTCGTCCTGCTGAAACCGTCTCACCCTCGTGAGGCCCGTCAACGCGCCCGACAGCTCGTTGCGATGCAGCACGCCGAAGTCCGCCAGTCTGAGCGGCAGCTCGCGCCAGGATCTGCACCGCACGTCGAAGATCAGGCAGTGGCCCGGACAGTTCATGGGCTTGAGCGCGAAGGTCTCCTTCTCCACGTCGAAGGAGAACATGTTCTCCGCGTAGTGCTGCCAGTGTCCCGAGGTCTGCCACAGCTTGCTGTTGTAAATGTTCGGGCTGACCACCTCCTGGAAGCCCCGCTTCCTGTACTCGGAGCGAATGAACTCGATCAGGGTGTTGTATATGTGCGCGCCGCGCGGCTGGAAGAAGCAGGAGCCGGGCGAGAGCTCGTGGAAGAAGTACAGCTCCTGCTCCCTACCGATCTTCCTGTGATCCCGCTTCGCCGCCTCCTCCTGGAACTTCTCCCACTCCTTCAGCTGTTTCGCGTCCGGGAAGCTTATCCCGTACAGCCTCTGCAGCGACTCCGCGTTAGCGTTCCCCTCCCAATACGTGGACGAGTTCTTCGTGATCCTCATGGCCTTGATCTTTCCCGTGTGCCTCACGTGCGGCCCCCTGCACAAATCGATCAGCGGACCGCACCTGTAGGCCGTGGTGGTGGGCGTGTGCACCCTCTCGGTTATAATCCGCACCTTGAACTCGTTGTACTTGAACATCTCCAGGAGATCCTCCTTCGTCATCTCCAGCCGTTCGAACGGCTGCTTCTCCTTGACTATGTTCTTGTACAGGCTCTCCAAGTACGGGAAGTCCACGTTGGAAATGCCCTTCTCGCCCAGGTACATGTCATAGTAAAAGCCGTTCTCGATGGGAGGGCCGTAGCAGAGGCAGCCGCCGTAGACTCTCTCCATGGCTTCCCCGAGGACGTGGGCGCTGGAGTGCCAAAACACTTGCTGACCCTCCAGATTATCGAACTTCAGCAGCTGCAGCTTGCAATCGCACTCCAGAGGTCTGTCGAGATCCCACAGTTCGTTGTTGACTTTGGCGATCACAGTATTGTCCGCCAGCCCTTGGCTGATGCTTTTCGCGACGTCATAAGGAGTCGTGCGCCAGGACTGCGCGGGCACGTTCTTGCCGTCCGGAAGAGTTACAGTTATATTTTCCGGAGTCTTCGCCGCCACTGCCTCATCATAATCCTTTTTCAATTTATCCCATAAGACAATACGGTCCTATAAAGACATAATTGCATGTTAAAACGAAGATCTAATAATTGCATCTTAAACTAGAAAAGCTATCGATAAGTAATTAGAAAAACAATTCAGTTTTGAACATATTTGTGCTTGCACTTCTT